TATATATATATATATATATATGTATATATATATATATGTATGTATATGTATGTATATATATATATATATATATATATATATATAAGAGTTCAGACTGTCGTATATACAGTTATTGAGAAATATCACCGCATTTTCTACATTGTTGAGTTTGTGACTAAGATTTTCAATTATTCGAACAATTATTTTATCAATATTAGTCAATTTGTTCAAATTATTAATAAAATTTCTATATAGCCTATATTTATAGGCTCCGACGATGGCATTAGCCGAAACGGCCGTCAGCTAAACTTCACAGTTTAATAAAGTTGGAACAAAACAGCTTCGTGTCGTTGAAATTTTATTTAAAAAACTTCTAACTGCAAAATGGGGTGTAATCTTCAACCGAACATGTTTATCTGAGAACCTCATACCAAATTATATATATATATATATATATATATATATATATATATATACAGTCTGAACCCATATATATATATATATATATATATTATTTTAGTATTGTTGTCAAGGATTTTACTTTTATTTTTAAAATTGTATATGTGTTCCAAGTTTGTTTTTATAGAACCTTCACTTTTGTGCATGGTCAGACGTCTGGTTAGCGATGTTGTAGTTATTCCGATAAATGAAACATTCTGACGTGTGAAGCCGTCAAGGGAACATGAAAATTCATTTAACAGATGTTGAAGATGCAGTTGTTGTTCATTACAAGGTTTGATGTTTTTCCATTCTTATAAGAAATTCTTAGTTTTAATTTGTCGGAAGGGTTACTAGGTTTGACATTTTTATAAATGACTTGTTTTAAGACGGATTTGTCCGTTTTGTAACTGGTGTTCATATGATTCCAATAATAAAAGATGATGCCTGTGTTTGGATTATTATGTTGTGGGATTTAAAGTTGTTGTAATTTATTTTCAATTATTTCCTTTATCATTACTGTGCAGTATCCATTGTATACTAAGAGATTCGGGATTTTTTCCAATTCTACATCATTTTTTTCGGTTGATGATAAGTGAGTGAAAGTGCGGTTGACGAATGCTCTTGTTGTACTGATTTTAATTCGCTCCGTGCATTCGCTTTTTCCATTGAGGCAAATGCCTTTATTTGTAGTTTTTACACAGACTGTAGTTTTAAAGCTATGTTCATTGCCGTTGACGACAAGAAATATTGATTGTTTTATGTCAAATTTGGTTAGAAATATTGAGAAATGAGAAACCATCCAACGCCAGAAATTTGGTAGATTTCATAAATTACAGCATTAATTATGGTCTTTTACCAGCACATATGGCCTATATATATAATATATATATGTGTGTTTGTGTGCGCGCTTGTATCTATCCATATCAGAGGTGGACATGGGTCCATTTTTACTGACCCAACCCAACCCATCACGTAACTCAACCCATCCCAACCCAACCGCCTGAAAATGCAACTTTTCAACCCAACCCGACCCGACCCAACCCACGACCCATCTGCACGAGTCGCAATTTTACCAAACAGGCAAATTTTTACAAATGATATTTAAAAAGCAGAACTCAAAAATACAAGATCATATGTGTAATAAAACACACTGGTGAAGTAATCACACTGCAAGTGTAATAAAATAACATGAAAATTAATTAAAAATCAAATGTTACTAATATTTTACTTATTTTTTCTTCATCGATTTATAGTCACTGTTCCACACTGAGTGATCACTAGAGTTTATCAATATCTATTACGGAAGCTCGACAACCCCATCTAATTAATTCCAGTTCTTCAACTTTTCGTGCCGACAGACTGGATCGAGCATCTGTGACTGTGCGACCAACTGAACTGAAATCTCTTTCAGATTGTGCTGAACTGGCAGAGATGCATAACACTCGTCTGGCAACATTTGAAAGAAGTATAAAGTCTTTGCTATTGTCTTGCCAGTAAGCTAGTAGTGATTTGTGGTTGGCAGGAACATTCAGAGCTTTGTATCTAGCCAATTCTTC